TGGGTGTGGGTGTGGGTGTGGGGTGGATGTGGGAGTGGGTGTGGGTGAGGGCGTGCATGTGGGTGTAGGTAAGAGGAAATATTAAATTCATATCCACACCCACACCCAACATAGCCAATGATCCAGAGAAACAAGATACTAGATTTGAGAAAAAAATAATTGTTCACCATACACATGAAAAGCGTCTCCATTGTTTTAAACGTAATATGCATCAAATACTCGATCATACATTTCAAAACCAACTAGATAGAGATATTAAACTGATTGTGGACAATCGAAATCCTCGCGATGCCGAAAAGGAACTCATACATAAACGGCCTAAACAATCATTATTAAAGAATAAAATTCCAAAAAGTAAGTTCATTTCCTTCATCAATACACAGATGTCACCGTATCTCAAATCTAGTATTCTTCCTTCCTACTCTAAAACGAAAGAAAACATCAGAACAGAGGCCAACAACTGACAATGTGGCAACGACAAAATAAAAAACATTCTGACATTTATTTCATATGAACATCAAAGAGTTTTTTTAAATTCTGTTGTAAACAATAAAAGCACTATTCACTTCTAAAATAAATATTACAAATATTCACATCTAACATGAAATTTTCTCATATCTTATCACACCCATGATTAATACATTTTCATATATTCTAGATAAATATAACTAAAACCAATAACAATATTCCACAATTATTCTATTGATAAATTCTTTATATACTCAACCGAAAATATTAGAAATCAGATTCTACTATATCAATCAATACAAATTCGAAACACGTATCATGGTAGCTTATCACACCCCTCGCCCTTAAGAATCCTTAAAAACTCTTGTTGAATTTTTCGAAATACAAGGATCTAGAAAAATGAAAGAAATTGGTCTTCAAACAATAAGAGAATTAGCATCAATTGTATTCCAACAAGAAGTTTTTCTTTATGATGAAAAGATTTATAAACAAAATCTTACGGATACTAAGGGTGCTTCTCTTACATTAACATTAGCTAATATATTTATATGGGAATGGCAAACAGAATTCGTTCGTCGAGCAGATATATCAAATGAAATTTATGGCCGGTAAACTTTAAAGAAGAAGCAGAAGAACATTTTATTTGTAAACTATTGTTTTTTAATAACAATCCTTTTAGATATATTGATGATATTTTTGTGACATGGAATAAATCTGAAAAAGAATTAATAAAACTATTAGAAGCTGCAAGGAAGTTGCATTGAAAGATTAAATTAGATTATAAAATCAGTAAAACTCTGCCATCTCTTGATATTCATCTAACTAACAACAATGGTATTCTCTCAACATCTGTTTATCATAAACCAGCCGTTAAACCTTATGTTGTACCATTTATATCTGACTATTCTCGACATATATTTGGTAATATTGTACAAACAGCTATTACACAAGGTCTACACTATTTATCTACATATGCAGCATTTAATTATGAATGACTTTATATCAAATTAATGTTATTGTAGAATGGATAACTTTCAGTATTATAGATAAACTCCTTACAATTTCACACAATTCAATTCTTTTTAGCTATTCATTATCACAAATCGAGCATGAATCTCGAATCTGTTTTCTTGAATATCTATTTTCAACATGACTTTGACAAGATCCTTGAGCAAGGTCGAAACCGGTCATGGTAGCTTGTGACACCCACACCCACACCCTGGTCTGAGGTGCTTGTATACGTGTACTCACTGTGCGACTTCTAACTAGTATTTGAATTCTTAATCCATCAAGACTTGATGAAAATGGGATTTGCTATATACTATTCGATGCGCCGTGAGCTGCTCTACAAAACTACATATGCAGTTTTTCAATTCAAGTCAATTAGCAAATTCGTCAGTCATCTACTTTTTTTGAACATTTCACCATTTTTCACAAAAAAAAAGAATTTTCAATGTCGAAACATGTTGTTTTGTTATTCCAATACCACCATTGAATAGAGCAAACAAAGTTTTCTATCATACATAAGTCTCACAAAAGTCTGCCATTCTAAAAGATTTTTTGAATAAAGTCTTTATACGAGACAAAAGCCGAGTGGTTCGATACTTTTTGGAGCAACTGTAAGTATAGGAAAGAGAGAGAACAGCAAAGGTAATGGAGCGAAGAATATAAAGGGTGTCCCAGAAGTTCTGGAACGATTTTCAAAATTCATCGTTCTCACATTCAACAAAAGCAAACTTTTTGAAACTTTGATATATAATTGCACACACTTAGTTCTACATAACTACAAAGTTTGAAGTCTGTGTCATAGTGCTTCACTTCTTTTCTTCTCTGTCGAACTGTTATACATATGTTCTTGTTCTTTTCTTTTTCTGTTCAGCTGTTACACATATGTCCTTTTTCATCTGACCTACTCTCCTCTCTAACTGATGTCTTCTTTGACAAGGAAGAATCATTGTCTTAATTCTTCTTAGTGTTCATTTTCTAAATAGACGAGGAAGTTTCTCGACTTCTTTCCTGGCCATCTAATTATCTCTCCTTTGTATGTATATACTTGCTGTTCTCTCTAATAACGTCAATCAAATATTCGACAATCTACGGAGTTATATGTGCAACTAGGTCTATAGTTTTTACTATGAATGAGAATTCGTAACAGCATTGTCATGTACTATTTTTTCGATTTCCCTCATCATCTCAATTATTATTTTAAAAACAATACTGTATGTAAAGATAAAAATAAACAGAAATTAAGCTATCAATGTTTCCGTATTTGATTATCACCTTGATTGATCACTAATTTTAATCGTGTTGGTATTTTATCAATCATTCTTTGATATAAAGAAACACTAAATTTGTTCCACTCCTTTTTAATGTCACTTTTCAATTGTTCGATTTGAGTACATTCTCGTCCTCGTAATTCCTCTTTCAATGTACCCTAAACGTTTTCTATGGACCAAACGTCGGCTAGTTTTGTAGCACAATCTATTGGTTCAATTCGATTAATAAAAATGAAATGTTTAACAGCACCCAATACCACCTGCATCTTTTGTATACGATCTTGATCATCTTGAAAAATAACATTTTGTAAATCATCTAATTCTGCAGGTGCTTTTTTTACCATAGTAGTTCGAATAAACTTTGCATATCGGTCACCAATAAAATACATTTTCTTATGACGATTATCGCCTTCTGGTCTGATTAGCTCTAAACATTCATCAATAAAAATTGGAGATTTCTTCGAAAATAATCCTTGGTAAGAAATACCACCCCAAAACATAACAGTTATATGAAATTTCTGTTTTGATTTGGTTTTTAATTCATATCGAGTATCACTTGTTGATTCAGCATAGACACATTCATTGTGCTGATTGTATTGAGGAATTAATGTGAATGTATTACTAAAATCAGTATTCAAAAGATAAATCCATTCATAAAGTTTGTGTTTTTTCTTGGTACCATATTTTTTGCTTAACCGTTTCGCAATAATAATACGTTGAACTTTTTGATTTGTAGTTAATTTTTGAACTGTTTGTTGTTTCCACCATTTTAATTTTAATGAGCTTTTCACTTCCTATACAGAACTTTTTGAAGTTTTGCACTAGCATTTCTGATGGATGCATTTTCTTTTAATCGAATAGTTTCTTTTACAGCTTGAATATATTCAATTGTTGTTGTTGTACGAGGTGCACTTGATTTTGGTAAGTGTTTTACTTTGTTTCTCTTCAATATTCTCCAAACTTTGCGTCTCAAAGCATTTCTCGTTGTATAACAAAGTGGATTTTCCGTTTGAAGAGCAAATGTTGTAATATCTTTCGCTTTCCATGATGAATATAACTTTTTCAAGTGTAATACGAAAGAACGAAATCTTGTTTCTCTTTAGTAGATGGCTCATATGACATTCTGTGTTGATTCAGTCGTCATGGACTAATATTGACCTTTATATACTCCGGCTATGGACATGTGCACAAACTGAAATATATTATTAAAAGTGAATTTATGCTCTGACACGTGTTGACTAAGGAAGCCCTGGAAATAACGCTTTTTCTACCACTCTTATAGCGAATTATCGATGCCAGAAAATTGAAAAAAAAAGAGTACTTGACAATATTGTTTTAAGTTCTCATCTATAGTAAAAGCTATAGACCTCAAACTTTGTACTTATGTAGAACTAAGTATGTGCAATTATATGCCAAATTTTTAAAGAATTTGCTTTTGTTGAATATGAGAACAATGAATTTTAAAATCTTTCCGGAACTTTTAGAACACCTTTATATATCACTACCTAACAGAATACTTAGTCAAAACTAAATGATGAGAACCTTTTAAAATAAGATGGAAACGTATTTTTTATGAGCATATAAATCAAGAGATAAATAGAAAAGGAAAGTTACAAAAAATATTAGTAGCACTAAGTAGAAGTTAGAAATAATGAATCAATGAAAAAAACCTCAAGACAGCAGTTCCAATATTAACAAGTCTGTAAGAAAACTTTTACATTGTCGACACCTTCGTTCACGACAGCGAAATCCAGTTTTCCATCATTGTTCAAATCACCAACGGAAACTAAGAATGGAAGAGACCCGTAACCGATCGAAAAAATCTTTACATCTGCGAAGGAACCATTTCCATATCCAAGCAACACAGCGATGTTACTTGTGCCATAATTGACGACTATAATGTCCAGCAAGGTATCGTTGTTGAAATCGCCAACAGCAACCACATTCGGTTGAGAGTTGAAACTGGTCGTAAACGTTTTTTGGCTTGAAAAAGAACCATTACCCCATCCAAGAAATATACCAACAGTGTCATTGCCATGATTTGCGACAACGATATCAAGTATTGTATCGTTGTTGAAATCACCAACAGCTACCGCCCATGGAGAGGAATCGGTTGGATATGTCATTTGATTTGCGAAAGAACCATTGTCATATCTCAAAAAAATACCGATGTTGTTAGCGCCTGAATTCGCAACTGCAATATCTGTTTGACTGTCATTGTTAAAGTCCCCAATGGCGAATGACTTAGGCCGAGATCCATTCTCAGTTATGAGCCTCATTTGGTTTAGAAAACCTTCATTGGGATATCCGAGATATACATTAAAACTTTGCTCATTCAAATTAGTGACGACAATATCCAGTCGGGTGTCATGATTAAAATCGCCAACAGTTACACATGAAGGACTAATGCCAGTTGAATATGTCATTCGATTTGCAAAAAAACCATTGCCATATCCAAGAAAGACATTCATAGTGTTATCGTCCCAATTAACGACCACAATATCCAGATGAGTGTCGTTATTTAAATCGTAAACAGCTACACCTCGTGTACCAGAGCCAGTTGAATAAGTCCTTTGATTTGCAAAAGAGCCATTGCCATATCCTAGAAGGATGCTTACAGTGTTGTCACCATTATTAGCAACGACGATATCTAGATGAGTGTCGTTATTAAAATCGCCAACAGCTAGAAAGAATGGGCTACGACCAGTTGAATATGTCGTTTGAGTTGCAAGTGAGCCATTTCCATATCCGAGAAGGACACTTACAGTGTTGTCATACTGATTACTGACGACGATATCCAGATAGGTATCGTTGTTAAAGTCACCAACAGCTACAAAGTATGGCCAAGAGCCAGTTGAGTATGTCGTTTGGTTTGCAAAAGAGCCATTGCCATATCCGAGAAGGACACTTATAGTGTTGTCATACTTATTAGCGACAACGATATCCAGTCGGGTGTCGTTGTTAAAGTCACCAACAGCTACACCTCGTGTACCAGAGCCAGTTGAATAAGTCCTTTGATTTGCAAAAGAGCCATTTCCATGTCCTAGAAGGACACTTACAGTGTTGTTATCTGTATTAGCGACGACGATATCCAGATGGGTGTCGTTATTAAAATTTCCAACAGCTAGAAAGAATGGGCTACGACCAGTTGAATATGTCGTTTGAGTTGCAAACGAGCCATTTCCATATCCGAGAAGGACACTTATAGTGTTGTCATACTTATTAGCGACAACGATATCCAGGTGGGTGTCGTTATTAAAATCGCCGACAGCTACAAAGCTTGGCCAACCGCCAGTTGTATATGTCATATGATGATCGAAAGACCCGAGATTATATGTAACAAACACATCTACATGACCGATGCCATCATATGCGACAAAAATTTCTGAACGTCCATCTTTGTTGAAACTACCAGCACCAATTACTAATGGAGCAAAATCGAAATCTACACCGTAACTTCCTCGATTTTCAAATGTTCCGTTCCCACTTCCCAGAAACATAACAAGATTTTTAGAACCATAATTGGTCACGGCTATATCCGCTTGACCGTCTTTATTGAAATCACGGATAGCCATTGTGTAAGGATTAGAATTTAAGCCCGTTGAGAGTACCATTTGGTTTCCAAAAGTGCCAGTTCCATGTCCAAGAAGAAGACCTATGTTATTACTACCATAATTGACAACAACGATGTCCAATAGGCTATCATTATTGAAATCAAAAATGGCAAAACTTCGCAAGCGAGAACCATTGGCAGATGCAAATGTGATTTTTTCTTTTAGAGCTCCTCTGTCATACCGAAGTAGTACACCTACATTGTTGTCATTGAAATTAACAACGACGATATCCTGTCGGGTGTCGTTGTTAAAGTCACCAACAGCTACAAAGCTTGGTGCAGAGCCAGTTGAATACATCGTTTGATTTGCAAAAGAGCCATTGCCATATCCGAGAAGAACACTTATAGTGTTGCTACCAAAATTAGCGACGACAATATCCACTCGCGTGTCGTTATTAAAATCACTAAGAGCTACAGATTCTGGCTGAGAGCCAGTTGAATATTTCGTTTGATTTGCAAAAGAGTCATTTCTATATCCGAGAAGGACACTTATAGTGCTGTCACCATAATTAGCAACGACGATATCCAATCGGGTGTCGTTATTCAAGTCACCAACAGCTACAAACCATGGGTTTGAGCCGGTTGAATATGTCGTTTGATTTGCAAAAGAACCATTGCCATAGCCAAGAAGAATACTTATAGTGTTGTCACCATAATTAACAACGACGATATCCAATCGGGTGTCATTATTTAAATCGCCAACAGCTACAGACTGTGCATTAGAGCCAGTTGAATATGTCATCTGATTTGCAAAAGAACCATTACCATATCCGAGAAGAACATTTATAGTGTTGCCACCATAATTAGCAACAACGATATCCAGATAGGTATCGTTATTAAAGTCATCAACAGCTGCAGACCATGGCGAAGAGCCAGTTGAATATTTCGTTTGATTTGCAAAAGAACCATTGTCATATCCCATAAATACACTTACAGTGTCGTCATAAAAATTAACAACAACGATATCCAATTGGTTGTCATTATTTAAATCCCCAACAGCTACAGAGATTGGTCCAGCACCAGTTGAATACGTCACTTGATCTGCGAACGAGCCATTGCCATATCCGAGAAGTACACTGACAGTGTTGTTATTCAGATTAGTAACGACGATATCCAGTCGGATGTCGTTGTTAAAATCGCCAACAGCTACAGAGTATGGGTTAGTGCCAGTTGAATATGTTGCTTGAATGGGGAAAAACTCGTCATAACCAAGCATGATACTTATAGTGCTCGTATCATTATTGATGATAGCAATGTCTGAACGATTATCTCTGTTTAAATCACCTATGGCAATGGAGATGGACGAAGAAGATCCAGTTGAATACATTTTTGGGTTTGTAAAGGTACCGTTGCCATATCCGACAAGCAGAGCCATATTGTTAGTACCATGATTGGTTACGACTAAATCCATTCGATTATCGTTGTTGAAATCACCAATGCCAATAGAATATGGAGAAGCAGCGCTGAGAGAATATATCATTTGGCTCATGAATGTCCCATCACCAAGGCCCAGAAGTACACCTACACTGTTATTTCCATAGTTGGTGACGGCAATATCTAGTATGGTATCTTCGTTTAAATAACCAACGGCGATGCAGTATGGATGGGAATTCGGACCGGTTGAAAACGTGATTTGATTCACGAAAGTACTGTTACCAGTTCCAAGGAGTATACCAACATTGTTTGTACCATAATTGGCGATAGCAAGATCTATATGTTTGTCGTTGTTGAAATCGCCACTGACAACCGCAAACGGAAAAGAGTCATAGCCCGTAGGGTACGTGCTTGAATTTGAGAAGCTTCCATTTCCATACCCATGAAATATGCTTACACTGTGTGTGCCGTAGTTAGCAGTGACAATATCTAATGCTGCGTCATTGTTGAGATCTGCTACATGGATCCAAATGGGACGAGATGATGCAACTGAAAGCACTGTTTGACTCACAAAAGACCCATTTTGAAGTCCAAGAAGTACACCGACGCTGTTTGTACCGAAATTTGCGACAGCGAGATCCAATCGATGGTCGTTGTCGAAATCACCAACAGCAACCATGTATGGAGCAGAGCCAGAATCGATCGAATACTTAACTGGGCTTGCCACATTGCCAGTGCCATCTCCAAAATATATAACTACACTGTCGGCATCATAATTGACAACAGCAATATCTAACCAAGTATCGTTGTTAAAGTCGCCCATGGCGACGGATCGTGGGTCATAATTATAGTCAATTGGATTTCGAGCCGTTGCTTTAAAATTAAGTTCACATTTTGGAACTAAGTAACGCAACAACAAAGAGATAAAGACTGATCAGCTACTATGGTTGAACTATCCCTAGTAGATTGTATCAATCCGGATGGGAACCAGTGCTTTTCAAGAGTACGTCGTTGAGTCTTGCGAAACTCATCACTCAGATTACTCATTGTATGTTCTCTTTCATTTCCTTGATAATTCGTTCACGAAGCGTATAGTGACTGTCAAACAACAGACATCGCAACTGATATGATTTAAATAAGGACTATAGATTGATCCTAAGTATATGACCAAAACCACTACCATCTCTATCTTATAGGTTCTGCTATGACATGTCATCGGGCACAAATATACCGTAATAGCAAAAATTCTAAAGCGTTTCGAAATCAAACGAATGCTAATGACGTTGTGTTGCAACAATCCTCTGATTGCGTCATGAATGTTTTGCATCGATAATTAATAGTAACAGTCAGGATAGAGCAAGTTTTTTATTTGTATCTGGGAATATAAAATGGATAGTTCAACGAATTTTTATTAATAGCATTTGCCTGATCAGTTGAGCGATTATTCATTTTTGATGTTGTCTATCGGGACCTATGATTCCCTATTGTCTGATTATTCTTGTTTGTCATCCTTGGATTCATTTGTAGCTAGACCTAGCTTATCACAGCTATGTAGTTTTTAGAATATTTTGAAAATATCAACGAAAAAGAGATGTCTTCTTCTTCAGATGATCAAGTCCGAACGATTAACTAACCTTTTCAGTACACAGTGAGCTACTAGGAAATATGAATATAACAAGTATAACTTACAAAAAATCCACTAATGAAGGAAATTAATCAACTAATATTCTGAAGAGTGTCACGTTTACTGTTACTTAGACTTCCACTTACCAGAGTAACAGTAAGTGTTTTTTATGATTGAAAAATCTCCTATATAGTATTATCCGATCCAAAATAAAAGGCAGATTACCATTTTTCGAATAACTTTTGATAAACACGAGATAGAGTGCTGCGGTTTTCACTATTCGAAAGAGCAGGAGCTGGGCACCAATTTCACATAAAATCAAGGGATCGGTATCATATAAAGATACGTTTAATTAGTTGGACTTTTTCCAAACTTTGCAATCTTCATGACTTCCGTTACATATTTCTTGTTTAGGAGTGGGCTCGGTAGCTCGGATTCTGCTCTATAAAACTATACAACTCGCAGGTCTTTATCATTTATTGCTCGAACAAGGTATCAATTTTATTGAAAGCAACTACATCAAATTTCAAAAGTTCTCATTTCTTCTTCGAATATGAAAAATGTATAGAAAATAGGTTATCGTCTATGTCGAATATCAAAGAATAATAAGTTTTATCTGAAAAAGAGTGTTCCTCATTCAGTCCATGAAATGAGTCTTCAAACAGAAATACAAAATCATAATAGAGCTGAAAATTTTACGAAAAAGTACGTTTTCCTGCTAATGAAAATATGTCTGAGTGGACAACAAAAAATAGGAATTCAATCATCCATATCTTCATTCATTTCTTTATTAGTGTCATCCTCTGGTTCATCGCTTGTATCATCGTCCATTTCATGAGCAGGATCGTTACTTTCTTTTTTATTTCTACTTGAAAAAATGCAACGAAAAGAAGAAAAAATATATATATGAATTCCTTTCCATTCATATGCCTCCCCTTATATTGCAAGAAAAAAATACAAAAAGAGAAAGAGAAAGAGTAAGAATATTGATAAACATGATGCAATCGTGTCATAGAAAGACAAAGAATATTCTTATGACACTATTAGTCTCTCCTGACATAGTATACTAATGCACGAAAGTGCAACTACCGTATATCTGCATAAACACTGAATCATCAGAAGTAATAGAAAATGATTGAAAGCTAGCATAATACAGCATATATCCAATGAGTTTGAATACCTTTTCTCTGACAGACAGGATCAAAAAGAGAACTACTGATTATTTCGACTTTTAAAACGTCATTATCAGCAGGAGAGCTCACTTTTTCGTAAAATTTTCAGCTCTATTATGATTTTGTATTTCTGTTTGAAGACTCATTTCATGGACTGAATGAGGAACACTCTTTTTCAGATAAAACTTATTATTCTTTGATATTCGACATAGACGATAACCTATTTTCTATACATTTTTCATATTCGAAGAAGAAATGAGAACTTTTGAAATTTGATGTAGTTGCTTTCAATAAAATTGATACCTTGTTCGAGCAATAAATGATAAAGACCTGCGAGTTGTATAGTTTTATAGAGCAGAATCCGAGCTACCGAGCCCACTCCTAAACAAGAAATATGTAACGGAAGTCATGAAGATTGCAAAGTTTGGAAAAAGTCCAACTAATTAAACGTATCTTTATATGATACCGATCCCTTGATTTTATGTGAAATTGGTGCCCAGCTCCTGCTCTTTCGAATAGTGAAAACCGCAGCACTCTATCTCGTGTTTATCAAAAGTTATTCGAAAAATGGTAATCTACTTTTTATTTTGGATCAGATAACAGAAAAGAGGACGTATACGCATTTAGACATGATAGTAGAACGAAAGAAGATATATATGGAATATATACTGCTTATTCTCTTCCGCAAACAAGATATAGTGAGAAAATGTAAATAAGATGTGTCCTGTGGAGAAGAAATGTTTACGATCATCACATTCTGTGAGAAAGGTACTTGTTTTCTCTCGTATTCTTTCGCATTTCTTTTATATCTAAGAACATATCGATGAGATAGAGAAAAGGAAATCCTGGATAAACTGCTATTTTCATTCAGAGATGTGAAAAAGTACTATCAAAAATAATAGGAGAGGTGCATATAAGATAAAGCTGATCTTTCTGTGACATGTAATAATGCACAAGATGAGTTTGTAAAAAATTAGATGGTGAAATTGTTCTTTTATTGAGATATGAAAAAAAATCTTCTATAGAAAACACAACAATCATCTTTTTAGAGAAACTTATTATCCTTCTTTCTCTATAACAAAGCAGAAATGGGATGAGTCTTTTTGCAATGCTTCTCTATTCTATGACTCCTACCAATAACTAAAATAGAAGCTGAATGAGAGAGTATCAATGATGAGGGTCTCTTGTAAGGAACGATATTTTTTTCGTTGTTTTCTTTTCTCATCGAATCCAACTTATAGGCAAAGTAGTAGACCTATTGATAATGATCATCTTGGTTGGTTCGCACTCGTTAGTGCTAATTTAAAATGGAAAAATGAACCAGCTGTAGTGCTTATAATTCTGTCCTGTCTGGATGATTTGCTTCGAGCATGTTGACATGAAATATTATCACAATTTAAGTTTTTTTTACCAAAAATTCATAATACTGGTAAAACAGAACTGAATTAACTGTGAGTTTTTATCGTATTGAGTACAAAGAATGTAAGACAACAAGAACATACCTTGTGATTTTGGTGAGGTAAAGCAAATTACTAATATACCGACGACTATAGCTATACTTATGAACATAGGCAATAAAAACACAGGTTTGGTATTTAAATTCAATATTGACCAGAGACAACCTTTCCTAGGAAAGAGCAACAATGATCATATTAGACATCAAAAGAAAAAGTCATAGATAGTCTATCAAATCGTGTAAGTTTTTAATTAATTAATCGTGTTATTCTGAACGTACCTTGCACTTTGTGCATTTGAACTTGATTCCACTTGTTCGTCTTCATTGACGGAGACATTCTTTGTGGGAGGTGAGCTACTAATCATTTCAGCGTTATTATCCACAGGAGCCATTTCAATCTACGAAGAGGCAATAATAGATGAAGAATACATATCGAAAAAGAGAATACAAGTATATCTCTAATCATGGAAAGTTTCTACAGAAAACTGTTGATGCAGTAGTTTTGCCTAATTCGTTTAGTCGATCTACGTATAAGCGCGCGATGTTTCTGTGCAATCTCAATGATTTTTCAACTATTGAATAAATGTATT